AATGTCATAATAAAGTAGAAGTTTATTGATATAAAACCCATATCATAATAAACTTGGAGTTTTATTGATAATTGCACGTGTCATGGTGTAAACCTGAAGTTTATTAATATTGATAATTTATTCAGTTGGCATAATTGTTTTAGCCATGCTAACTTAAGTATGATACGCAAAAATAAAAGAGAGTTCACATGAGTTAATATTAAAGAACTAGAAAGTTCTTTATGAATTCTCTTACATTGCTTATTCTTATTAATTAATAGACCAACTAAAATTGAGATTGAATCCCATGAATGCTGGAAATATCAAAGGTGAATATGAGCCCATTCACCTGCCATCCACATAAGATGCATCTATGAGATGATTACATGTGCAATTATTATTAACCGCAACTTGATGTTTGCGAGGTAATTTTCTCAATAATTTAATTTAGAGCATAATTTCCAGATTTCTATCCAAGACAGTTCATCTTGATAAGTTAGTTTACATTACAGTTAGTTTAGCAAAATGATTTATTGAGTGCCTCCACTTAATAGCTAAACTATTGCTTATGAGAACAAAGTTATCTATATTAGTTTGATATAGGTTATATATGAAAGTATATTACATTCTCCCCTCACAAGTGGTTCGGGGTCAAGAACCGAATAATTTCATCTTATTATTATTGATGTGCGGTGTATATTTTGATTAGCACCATAACACACAAAGATGGATTTCTAAAGTTGAGGAAGCAAGTTAGTTTTTCTAACATGAGGGGGGAGATGATAAACATTTGAGAAAATGTTACGTGGAATGAATTATCATGTGTACATCTAAATCCTCGAATAAAATAATATGAACTTGAAGTTCAATAAAGGATAATTCATTTGCAATATATTGCAAAACAAGCTAGACGCATTTGCTGACCCAAAGAAAGTAACTATATTCTCATTGCAAATGCTCATACTAAGTCCTAGAAGGACAAAGTCTATGGTACGCTTAAAGCATATAGACAAATCGGTTTCAAATAACTTCTTGATAAAGAAGATGAGCAAATGATCAAAATGATCATAATAAGGAGGCAAGTGATCTAGAAGATCACATGACATAACACTTCATAAATTCTCATGAGAGATTCAAGTACCTGAATATATGAATGAAGAGATCTATATGTTATGTCTTTATGAAAAAATATTGAAACCGATATAAAATGTTCGTCGACGACATCTATCATAGCACTAAGTATAGATGAGGATCTTAAGGTTGTCGAGACAAACACAAAAATATTGGCCAAATAGACTGTAACGACCCGACTGGTCGTTTTACTTTTTAAAACTCCGTTTCCCTAAATAAAATTTCCTGCACTTGCTTTAATTAATTTACGACCAGCGGGGATGATTGGTTCAGGAATTGAAAGAATTTGGGTTGAAATATGCTCATTTGATTCCTTAAAATTTTTTTAAAAGGCTAAGTTTGACTTTGGTCAATATTTTGAGCAAACGGACCCGGATTCGTATTTTGATGGTCCCGGAGGGTCTATAGGAAAATATGGTACCTGGGCGTATGCCCGGAATCGAATTCCGAGGTCTCTAGGCCGATTAATGATTTTTTTTAGAAATTGTTAAACTGAAATTCTAAGGATTTAAATAAACTAAATAATGATTGATCACATGGGTATCAGGCTCGTATGTTGGTTTCGAAGCCCGGTACAGGTCCAATATAGCATTTAAGACTTGCCCGCATAATTTGGTGTCAATCCGAGTAGTTTAAGGGCGTTTCGGCTCGTTAGAGGAAAATTAAGAACTTGATGTTCATAAGTTTGATTCAATTGGTTTTAGGGGGTGATTCTTAGATTTAGCGTTGTTTCGGGCGTTCCGAAGGTTCGAGTAGGTCCGTTTCATGATTTCAGACTTGTCGGTATATTCGGGCGGGGCCTGGGAGCCCCGAGCGTCAATTGGACAAGGCTCGAGTGAAGTTGGAAATGTTGAGAAGTGCCGAAGCATCTGCTTCTATCATAACCGCACCTGTGGTTGGTCGACCGCAGGTGCGAGACCGCAGAAGCTGTCCGCCTATCGCAGATGCGACCAAGGTAGGCTAGGCCCAGAACCGCAGAAGTGGCTCCCAAGCCGCAGAAGCGGTCGCAGCCCGCTTGGCCGGTTCCGCAGATGCGCCCAATTTCTCGCATAAGCGGGACCGCACTTGACCGCTGATGCGGAAATCGTTGAAGCAGTGAGCTTCATTTAATACGGGCTCTAAGTCATTTTTGCCATTTTTCACTCCTCCATTGGCGATTTTGGGAGCTTTTGAGAGAAGACTTCCACCTAGCATCTTGAGGTAAGTTTATCCCACCTATTCTTAGTTTAATACTTGTGTCCTAAGTAGATTAAACACTAGGATTTAGGTAAAATCATGGGGTTAGAGCAAAACCTAGGGTTTTGATAAAACTTAGATTTTCCACGAAATTTGGTATGAAGCGAAGTATAAATTATATATTATTGATCCTTAGGTTACAAAGAACAACTTTATTCGAAAAATTTCGGAATCCGGGCAAGTGGGCCTGGGTTCGGATTTTAGGAAACTTGTGTTTAAGGTTGGGAAATTGCTTTAATAGTTAGGATGTGATCTTGTGAGCTTGTATTGACTAGTTCCTACCTCGTTTATCTAGTTTGGGATCGTTCGGCTCCAAATTGAGAGTTCAGGCTCGTTCTTGTCATTGGAAGTGCACTTTGGAGCGAGGTGAGTCTCCTATCTAACTTTGTAAGAGGGAATTGTCCCCATAGGTGATGTAATCTAATAATTTGCCATTAAATATGGGGGCTACGTACGCATTAAGTGACGAGAGTCCGTGCGTAGCTACTATTATGCTTAGTCCGGGTAGTTTAGGACCCAGAAGCATGCTTTATGAAGTATTCTTGCAACTATGTTTAATTTGGATTGCTTAAATCATGGTGATTATGATAAATGAGACTAGTTAAGAGGAACATGATCTTTCTTGGTCTTTTTAAAGAGAAGTTGATAACTCAGTGAGTAATTTCTCCCCAGTTATGTGTTATTGTCTGCTTGTTGCTGTGTTTAATTACATTGACCGCGTCGCAAGGTTGATTTGCGAGCGAGGTAATAGATGCATCTATGGTTCGTGCCGTTCGACCCTCGACAGTGCACAATTTACTTTTATGTTGTATCAGGTCGTACGACCTCGACACTACTTGCTCATGCTTTACTCAATATTATTCTATGACTTGAGTTTATTATTTTGTTCTGGAATGGGAGTTGCCAGCTGTGACATTATCTAGGAGAAGACTTTTTAGTTCTTGCTATACACTGCTAATTATTTGTTTTATCCATGCTCAATATAATTCATCTCTCATATTATTTGACCCTAGTAAGTGTCAAGTCGACTTCTCGTCTCTACTTCTTCGAGATTAGACAGGATACTTACTGGGTACATACTGTTTATGTACTCATACTACACTTCTGTACTTAATGTAAAGGATCTGAGGCGGGTTCATCTGGCTATCAGACCGGTGCGTGTCCCTGATCATAGTCCGAGACTTCCACGGCGAGCTGCTTCCCTTCCTGTGCCGATCAACAGCTGGATGGAGTCTTCCTTACTTTTGACTGTCTATTCTGTTTCAGACAGTAGGGTAGATATATTATTTTGTATATTCTACTAGTTGCTTACAACTTGTGACACCAGGTCTTGACACACACATTAGTAGACGTTTCTTTTGGATCGTATAATTATTAATGAATGTTGCATATTATCACCAGCTTTTAATTGCAGATTAAAAAAAATGTTGTAACTGTTTTGGGTAAGTAAAATAAGAATTCACTAATATTTCCGCGTTGGCTTGCCTGACAACGGTGTTGGGCGCCATCATGACCTATTATGAAAAATGGGTCGTGACATAGACGATACACAATTCAAATAGAATTGGTTTAATATGAAAGACATGTTGTTTTGGACATGTAGTTCAAACACTTGAAAGTATAAAGTCAATAATATGTGCAATCAGTTTTCGATATCTTATTTGTCTAGCATGACATGAAAACTTGATATGCATCAAATTAAAGTCTATTATATGACTTATACGACAATCCTTGAAGGATTTAAATTGTTTAAAACATATACAATTCTTGATCTTGAAGTACCACATCTTCAGTGCAATTTGTACACAAATGTATCTTGCTATATTTACAAGCATGATGATATGATAGCAAGAGTTTTTGCCCCTATGTGATGATATTGAAATGACGATTCCAACAAAATCATATGAAGGCAATTCATCTCTATCAAGAATGATGATTTCAAGGTGCAAAATATTCATTCAAGTTAATATGGCTGATTTATTTATCAAATCTTTATCAACGATCTCTTGAAGATGGTGCACAAGATTGGAATGTGAAGGCTCAAGGATGTGAATTGATGCTCTCATTAGGGGGAGTTAATGCACGTTGCACTCTTTTTCCCTTGTAAAGTTTTGTCCCATTGGATTTTCCTTGCAAGATTTTTAATGAGACAACCAAAAGTCATATTGTTAGATATGTGTACTCTTTCTCCTTCTCTAGAATTTTTTTCCCATTGGGTTTTATTTTAGTTAAGGTTTTAGCGAGGCACATTATCTGTTGAATAGACATTCAAAGGGAGTGTTATAAATAGAATTCTATTTAAGGTGAATGTCTATATTCTAGAGAGATTCTAGGGTTTGTTACTTGGTGGCTAAGTCACTTTTTCTTTCTAAATAGAGGAATTTTATTCCATTATAATTTATCCTAAATCAATAAAAATTCTCTCTCCCTACTTTTCTAAGCAATACCTTCTTCTTTTATTGTTTCATAACATGTTAGAATTAATTATCCAATATAATCAACCCTCTTTCTATTTTGGAACGTCTAATTAAAAGATCATAATAATTCAATGTCTCTCTTGGTAATAAAAGGTGAATATATTAATACTTGCCTAGTTAGAGCGCGGCATTATATTGTGCACTTTCTATTTTGGAACATACCATTAAGATCATAATTCAATTTCTTGGTAATAAAAGAAGATATTACAACTCTTGCTTAGCTAGAGCGCGGCAATTTCTTAGAGAGAGAGTGTGTGTGTGAGAGAGAGAGGGGGGGATCAGAGGGGTAAGAGGAAAGGAGAAAGAAGAGTACTAGAGAGTCGGTCTAGGAAGGGAAAAATGAGGAGTGGACCGAAAGTTTTGGCGATAAATTTGATGGAATAAATGTGAGAAATAGCATTTTTATAGGAAGCTTTAGATTTGCAATTTAAACTTTTAAATTTTCTTGAAATGTTGGTTCCCTTTTTAATGATCTGATCTGTCTCTCAGACAACTTTAAACAACTGGTTATGAGAAAAATCCGAACTTTTCAGATACTCTTCCTTTTTCTCCTTTAAACCTGCTCTTTATAGCTTTCAACACTAAATCTTTGTACATTTTTATGTAAATGAATTCCATATATATTGAAAAAGATGCAATCTTTGCTGAATTATGGGTGTTATTTAAGTTGCAGATCTTGACTTGATGACATACAAGATTTCATGTAACGTACAAATGGGGAATTGGGTTTTTTTTTCCTTTAAATTTGGCTTCTTTCTGATTTTCTTGAATTTTTTCCATCTGGGGTTCTTTCAAAACCCTTAGATTATCTGTATCTTAAAGAGTAACATGGGTTACATAGTCTATAAATATTTGCCCTTTAGGTTTTACTTGAGTATTATATAATATATAGTTTTCTTGATATATGATGCATAGGACTATAATGGCTATAGAGGAACATACTCATAGGTATAGTAATAGCAGTGGGGGTGGGGGTGGTGGTTCAAGTGGCAGTGGTGGTGCTACTAGTAGAGCCTCAAAAAAGTTGAAGCAAAAAAAAGTCCCACAAAGAGGACTTGGTGTTGCTCNTGGGGGTGGTTCTGGTGGTGGGGGTGGTGGTGTTAGTAGTAGAGCCTCAAAAAAGTTGAAGCAAAAAAAAGTCCCACAAAGAGGACTTGGTGTTGCTCAACTTGAGAGGATGTTAGAAGAACAACATAAAAAAGATTCAATTTTGACACCAAATTTAGTGCATTCAACCAATACTATGTCCAAAAACTTAGCAGTTGAATGTCCTACTTTTAGGCCTACAATCAACCCTTCTTCAATCCCTTTACCACCACCATTAAAAATGGATCTACGAACTTCGAAAAGTTGTGTCTTTAGACCAAATCCATCTGGTCCTGTTATTGATGGTTTTCGTCCTAAGACTTTACAATCATCAAAACCATTGAACAGGAGTGGATGTGAGTTAAGTTGGTCCTCTGTTTTGAGTCCAGGGAGTGATAATTCCCCTAAATTATGGAGTTGTGAGTACAGTCCTGAAAGAGAAAGCCAACAGGGAAATCACAATGGTGTTATTTTCGGGCCAAATGTAAATTTGCCTAATGAACTGCATAACCCCATTTTGCCTCTACCAAGTGTGCTGCAAAGGTCACAACAATATCAGCAACCTTCTTGTTCTTCATCAATGGTAAGCAAGCTTATTGATCATTTTCTTTAATGTATATATAGATCATCATTGTCTTAGCGCGTTTAAAAATTTTGTTTGATGTATTTGAAATGCTGATTAGAATTACTTTGTGGAAACTGCAGGTGAATATCTCATCAGGGATTTCATCATCATCGTCATCTGTGTTAAATTATCAGATGGAGCCCCCTTCAAACCAAAATTATTATTGCTGTAATTATTTACCTCTGTGGCCTGAAGAAGTGAAGGTAATTCTTTTATTGTGTCAGTTGGTTGCTAAAGTAAATAGACTTGACAATTGACATTCACTTTGTTGCTAAAGTAAATAGACATGACATTCTGGCTTTTGTTGCCTCAAAAGCCAGAATAATAAAATGCTGTAATATCCATGCCAGAAGATACCCTCACTAGCCGAGGGTCTACCGCAAACAACCTCTCTATCTTTAAGGTAGGGGTAAGCTGCATACACATTACCTTCCCCATAGCCCACATATGGGATTACACTGGATTTCTTGTTGTTGTAGAAGATATGCTCACTCAACCCAGTGTTACACTTAGTATGGATCAACTTTTGTCCCTTTATCGCTCAAATGTTTTCTATGTGCTTGCATCTAAACAAGCTATCCAAGAATAATGATTCAAACACCAAAAAACATATGTTACAATTACTGAATTACTGATTGCAAAGGGGATGTTGGAGAGGTTGAGTATGGTATTTTATTTTTTCCTGATGAGAAGATTTTCTTGCTAGATAAGAACTTATGTCGTGGACGATATGTCCATAAACTTAGATTGGTGAGATAAAATGTCCTCCAACCATTACTTCAGGGGGGACAAAGTGGAGCTCACATCTAAAGATACAACACTAAATTTCTAGATGGTTTATCCTTAAGTATTTTGATTGATGGCTACATTTTTTATTATTAATGATGTCATGTAGATGGTTGGCATGAAAAGGCCATATCCCTTCTCTCCAGAGTATCCACCAGTCCCTTCATTTCATTGCAAGTTTCCGCCGGGCTATGTTAGCCTTGCATCCAGATCGCCTGAATCAGCTTCCTGCAGCAATGAATGCACAGCCAGTTTAGAATCAGGCAATCGACTTAAAAGGTTTGATATCTCCTGTGATTGTTGCATAATCTTAGTGTTTCAAATACCTACTAAGAGTCTTTTTTGGCACTTCTATCCAGAGAAGTTCCTTCAGGATCACGATCTATATCCGAGTCCAAACCAAGGAATGTCTTCGGACAAAATAGAGCTCTTAATGGAGATTTTCTCACGTTGGCTCCTCCTTCAACTGCTTCACCATATCAGAGTCAAGAGACACTTACATTGGAATCCACAAACTGTCAGGTCAGCGACAAGAGGTCTAATTATGTATGTTCTGATACCTGTACTTATTGGTTTCTTAAATTTGGTCTAAGGATCTTCTGCCTTTGATAAATCCACAGGGAGTGGCTGAAGAGCCCACGACATGTTCAGGTTTAAACAGATCAGTTCAACAACCCATATTCGGATTCTTCCCATCTGCAAAGGTACAACTCGGCCAAGAAGGAACGAACAAAAGCAACTGCCACGCTGAAGTAGCAGAAACTGTTGATCTCAATCTGAAGCTATAGAAATTTGGTAAATTTATCCGTGGTTCTTTTGCCTGGAGAATGGTTTTTTAACATCTGTTTGAGAAATGGCTCCTTCAAGTCTTAAGGTGCTTGCAGCACTTCTATTCCTCTGTGCGGTAGAATAACATTCTTTCTGATGAATGTCTTCACCGTTTGTTGGGTTAATTTGTAGTTAAACTGCATATACAAGCTTGAGCATGAAAAAAATATGCCATGATCTTGGCCGCATACGCATGATAATATGAAAAGTCATATAGGAGAGGTGTGGATTAGCCTCTCGGTCTATGACACGATGAGAAGTGAGATTTTGAAGAGATTTTTCAAGTGGGACGCGTGGACTTAGTCTTTCTGGTACAATTGATTTGTATGTCTCAACTTTGGTAAACTGTTAGTATGTTATGCATGACGCGTTGATTCATTTGGCTATTAAGTTTTACTTATCTCAAGTCACACAAGGCAAGTGAAATGTGTAGGATTCCAGAATAATACTTTTTCAAAATAGCAGTTCAATAATGTCTTGCACTTGCTGGGTCTAGGAACACTGGTTTTTTTATCCCTAGGATTAGATAATGGCGTATACAGTATTTTAAGCGATTATGTCAGGTAAGTGTTACTACTCAGCCGGCTTAAGTTTTGGTCTAAGAACTAGCTAAAACCTTGCTTTCTGTCTCAAATTAGTATTTACTTTATATTTTAAAGAAGTGTTGGTCTATTATATGTAGGCATATAGTTAGTGTTTATCCGTAAAATAGTACAATTGAATTTGTAATGTGGTTTATAGACAAGTAAATCGATTTGATCCAAAAAAGATATAGAAATAGAACAAAAATAGGATTAGCGATTGAGATCAAAAGGAAGATAGCAAGCTTGATTCTAAGCTTGGTCTTTCTTAGAGCAAGAAAATAACAATGATAAAATAATGATAAAAATGCTTTTGATTGAGCTTGAAATAGTATATTATAGCTTTTTTCTGCAAAATCTGTCGCCCCCTTACAAAACTTGCCAATATGGTATTTATAGCTATTCCTAAGGAGACAAGATCTTCAGATCAAGCTCTTCTTGAATGTGAATAAAAGTGTCATTGATGGGTGCATAACAACTGGCTTTGAATGCAAATATATTTTCTGTAATGGATGCTCATTTAATGCTATCCGATGTAAAGCCTTCGAATCTTTGCCATCTGTTATGCATCCTTCGAGATTCACTCTGTATCGGTTATGTACATCATAACTGATGTCAATTATTTACCGATTTAAATCTATGTATTCTCGGTTCCACGTGTCACCTCGCTATTCAACCACCTGTAACCAACCAATTTCACCCCATACAGATAGCCTCCTACTTTCCGGTGACGCAACTCAGTATTATCGGGAAGTAGATGAATATTCCTTTCTTAGCGGGAAAGTTCGTGAACGGTCTCCGACATTTGAAGAGATGCACGTCTCTTCGCATTTAATACCCCGAACACATATTGCCCCGTAATTCAGCAAGTATTTCCGTCGGGTTTCGAGGTAATAATGACCACGATTTTTGCCGTCTATATCTTCTCCACTACTCATCATTTTTACTTACTCTCACAATTCTTCTCGTTCTTTGAACATTCTTAGAGCCTTATTTACAGCATTCAACTTTCTCAGTAAGAACATCTTTGCCAACCTTTTACCACTATGTTGTCTTCTTCTTATACTGCTTCATTCAGAAACACTTGTCTTCTCTGTCACGCCTCCTTTTTCCTACACCCGAAAGGGTATAAGGGAGTTTTTTCAATTTAAGTGACAATTGAAACGGGATTATTTATTAAATCAGAGTCGCCACTTGTGATAATTTATGGTGTCCCAAGTCACCGATTTAAAATCCAGAATCGAGGAAAGATTGACTCTGTTTTATAGTCCGCGAACGCAGAAATCCGTGTAAGGAATTCTGTTAACCCGGGAGAAGGTGTTAGGCATTCCCGGGTTCCGTGGTTTTAGCATGGTCGCTCAACTATTAACATTGGCCTAATTATTTGATTAATTACACATTTTAAACCTACGTGCATTTTTTACTTTTTTGCCGCTTTTATTTATTAAAAGAGTTATTTCAAGGTTATTTAAAACACGTCGCAAACCACGCTACATGAAATGCACCCGTGATTCACGACACGTTCTATTTAACCATGTCGGAAATTAGAACCGGGTCACATGAAATGTACACCCGGATTTTAGTAATAGCCGTGATAATTATATAATCAACGCGCCTAAAGTAAACTACGAAGTTCATTTCTTTTATATCTAGGTTATAAAATTAATGAGGGCCATAAGTGATTTAATTACTATGGCGCACCTCGCTCTAAAATAACTACGACCAATTAGTAAACTGTAAGGCTCTTGGTGAATCCACTCAAAATTTATCTAACTCGAAGTTTTAATCTAAGGCTCTAATTACAGCCACACATCGAGGTAATTAAATGATTTTGATTGCTCGATAGAGAATGAACCAGCTGCAGACCAAATGGGACTCACGAGCCATGCATTAGACTGGGCTCGAAATTGAGCCCATCTCTCAGAATGAGAGCCAATTACACATAGCATTAATATCAAGCCAAATGCAGATCCAGCAGGACGCTGGGCTTCAGTTACCAAATCAATCCATTAAACAAAAAGTGCAAGGAAAAGAAAAAGAGATGGGATGAATATTCTTGGGCCTGGCATTGGGCCCAAACATGGCAAAACAACATAGAGGCAAAATCTGGAAAAGTCAACAGTACCTAAATCATTATACAGCTCATTTGGGATTTCCAGCATGTTTAAACACCAAATAAACTAACTGAAGCATTCACCTCTGACCCTTACGGCTTCTTTATACACATTACATTAATTTACAGTAGGCTCAGTACTATTTTAACAAAACTTTGAATCATTAAAGAACAAATAACTAGTAAATGGAGATTAATAAGCCTTGTCCTATGAAATAACAAACAAAATTACTCTACACCACTAAAACCAAATCTACATTTAGATTGTAATCCTCCATAAGCTGCCAGCTCTTCCCACATAGGAGTAATATCAATTTCAGCTTCTAACTCTCATGGATATGATCATGTTGAGATTAGATCCAATAAGAGCCATACTGCACACATGCTGACCCCTGGCCAATACTCACAACTCAAACCATAAAGCAAAATGTTAGACATGAATGATCAAAAAACAGTGTACTTAGAGCTCAAGCCCAACAGATATCAACTAAGGTATTTGAAGCACAAGAAAAACATGTTTTCAAGCATATGAAACAAGAATCAACATAGATATGCACTAGAGTCATTCAAACAATACTTCTAGCATTCATGTGAGGTCAAGATTACAAGGATTTTGGCATAAGGCCATGATGTGTACCTTAGTGCCTGAAATTCTGCTCCAAAATATCAAATAAAACACAGTTACTTCGACAAATAGAGAGCAGGGCAACAAATAGTTAGCAAACAACTTCAGCCTCAAGTCACAAGAACTCCAAAAACCCAGAAATACCAACAAGATTGTCCAGTTTTTTTTTTTCTGTTTAACCTAGAAAAAGAGAAAAGCCTCCTATTTTAGAGATTGTTTTTGAAAAGATTTTCAGGTTTGTTTTTCGTGTGTGAAGAGTGAGGGGAAGGCCTTATTTATACAACAGAAATCTGTTGTGTGCCTTCCAAGTCAAGGAAATAGGTTTTTTCCCCAAAAATACCCCTCATAGGGCATCTTTTAAAACTGATTTATGTACAGCTGTCCCTTTCCTTTTAGATATTTTCATTTTTCAGCCTCTTATCCTAACAATTTTGGGCAGCTGTCCATTTTAATAAACTTCCCAATCAGTTACTAAAGATTCTCTCAGGTCAACAATCCCCAAATTACCCCCTTAAGTTCCTAGTTATTCAATTAACCCCCTGAAAGTCCTAGGAATTTACAAACCAAGGCAAACAATCTTCTAATAGAAACCATAGGCAAACAAAATCAAATGGTATAAATTTCTAAAACCTAAATAGACTTAACATGAAATGAAATCAGAAATCAACCAACAATTAAACAATTGAAACTGACATTTAGGAAGAAACAACCAATGAATGCCCTATTTCAACCTTTGAAGCAATTAAACCGGCCAATTAACAGGGAATCAAATGATACTAACATGCTGATTTTAATTGCATTAAACACAAAATAAACCCAAATTGAAAACTGGAACCCTAATGACCTAATGGCAAACTCAAACATTACCACTAAACTAACCGACTATTATTAACGATTAAGCACATAAGCTAATTAACAAACTTAAAACCAGAAACCTAAGTCATGGAATTAAACAAAAACAAAACCCAACAAAGAAATTGAACACTTGAACTCTGATGAACATGCCTAAACTAATGAGCCTTAACACTACTGATTAAACATGCGAACAGAAGAAAATCGAAAACCTAACCTCCATTTGTTGATCGAAGAAACAGAAAAAATGAGGGGAAACCAGAGTGATGTAGAAGAGAAAAGGCGACGAAGAGAAGAAGGATAAAAATGGGAAGAGAAAATGAAAATAAATACCTATTGCATGTATGAACAAAGTTTTCCGGTCCTTGATGGTATGTGAACTCTAGTGAACTTTGAAATGGGCCGGAATTGGTACTAATCAATTGTTATTGATAAGAACAATCAACTGGCACAAATTCCGACCCCAAATCAATCTTCAAATCCTCTTGAACTCAGAAGCGAAGCAAATTAGGGTTTTCAATTTCTTCTTGGAACCAGATTCCAAATTGGGACAAATGGGTGGGGGTTTTTTGGGAAGGTGATGGTAGTTTAGGGTTCAGAGGAGTGTGAAGAGTGTGGGGGTGTGATTTTGGAGTGGTTTGATTGAATTAGGGTTTTTGGGTTTGAGTTTAGATCTAATATTCGAATACCTAGGCGGGGATTTGAGGGAATCGGTTGGGATATTCTGAAAGAGGAGGTGACGGGGAATCTAGGATGTTAAATTGGTGGTGTTTGGGATGGTCTGAGGCGTCGTCGCTGGCAGAGGATTTCAAGGCGGTGTCTCTAGGGTTTCTGCAGAGAAGGTGAAGTGAGAGGGGGTTGACTGGGGGGGTACCGGTTCTGACACTTAAATATCAAAGGGAGCCTTAGTTCCCAACCGTTTGATCAATGGAGATCAACGGCCGGGATTTTAAGGGAGAAACGACGTCGTTCAACTAACAGGGGGAAATTGGACCGGGTTACTAGCTGGGCTGGGGCGGGTTGGTGAGAAAAAAGTGTTTGGGCTTTAGCAANGGGGGGGGGGTACCAGTTCCGACACTTAAATATCAAGGGAAGCCTTAGTTCCCAACCATTTGATCAATGGAGATCAACGGTTGGGATTTTAAGGGGGGAAACAACGTCGTTCAACTAATAGGGGAAATTGGACTGGGTTACTGGCTGGGCCGGGGTGGGTTGGTGAGAAAAA